TTCAATCCTCACTCCCCCTTTCAGGTACTGTCCATCTTGGCCAGCTGGCACTGGCACAGAGCCAAGTGTGGCCAAGGTCAGACTGCCAATTTAGGGCCAGTTCGACACTTTAAGGGATTTATGGCTTTCCCTAATGAGGCCTGTGGCTCTTCTGCAATTCACACATTCTCTTGGGCAGGGTCCACAGTGGAGAGAAACCCTCTGCACAGAGGCCTAGCTTTTATGGGGGGAGGTTTCCTCCACAAGCAGTCATGTAGAGCCTCAACACCCTGGAATAACTGCAGTTGGGGCTTTTTGTGGTTAGCAATACCCTGGCCTTTAGGCAATGATGGTGTTGTCCTGAGTCAGAGATGGCTGGAGTGGAGGGCAGCAGAGTATCTGGGGTTTTTTTTTTCCCCGCCTCTGTCTCCTACTGACTTCTGGGGTGCAAAGGTGGGTTCATTGCTTTGGTGTTATAGAATACCCTTGCAGGCAGAGGACAGAAGCTAAAGCATCTATTGGAGTAGACTCTGTCTCTCCCACTCACCTCCTGTTTCTTATGTGAAGTCACCCTTTCCTTCTCTGATAGTAGAAGCCAGGTGTTAAACCTTGCTGGGAATAAAGTTTGAAGAGTCATTTATCTAAGTTGATATGCATGAATTTCTTCCTGGAGAGAGGTCTCGATAATTCCAAGAATAGGAAAGCATTTTGTGACCTAACCATCTAACCCAAAAGGCAAAGGCCACATTGGGTCTCTGAGGGACTTGAAGTGTAATTGGGAGAAGTTAGACCATAGCAGTCAGTTAGACCAAGTTGCTCTCCAGTGACTGTGATAAGTCAGAGATATCTTGCTTCATGTTAGTGCCCTGCTTTGAAATAAGGGCCGGGTGGTGTGGCTCATGAGAATGATCTCACTTGGAAGGCTGAGGCAGAAGGGCTGCCTCAATTCTGAAGCTAGGTCAGCCTGTACTATAGAGTAAGCTCCAGGTCAGTCTGGGCTACAGAATGAGTCTATCACACACACACACACACACACACACACACACACACACGCACACACACATGCACACACGCACACACCTACTTTGAATTACAGACATGCAAGATGTTTTTCAACTCATTCCTCCAAGTCCTGTCACCACCACTGCTGCCCCCCATTCATCTGCGAGGAGTAATTTTGCTTTTGCATAATTATTATGTATCTGTTTCCTCACCAATGTGGAGTAGGGGGTAGGGGAGAAGAGAACAAATTGTGGCTCAGTGTTGTGAGGGAGTGTGGTGGTAGCAGAGACAGAAGCGGGGCACCTGGGAGCTGCCACCTCTCAAAAGTCAGTTCCCTCCCTCCTTCCCTCCCTCCCTCCCTGCCTCCCCATTTTTGCCTGCATGTATGTAAGTGCACTACATGAATGCATGCAGTGCCTGCAGAGACCATAAGAAGGAGGTAGATCCCCCGGAACTGGAGTTACAGACAGTTGAGAGCCACTATGTGGATGCTGGAAACCAAACTCAGGTCCTCTGCAAGAGGACCAGTCATTTAACCACTGAGCCATCTCTCCAGTCCAGTTCCTTTCTTTGGAGTCCTGAGCTTTTACTGCAAGTCCTGTCCTAAGAATCACCAAGAGCAGCCTTTTAATACCCCACCCCATGATTCTCAAATCACAGGAATCTGCCCAACAGGAGAGGAAATTTTAGAATTTTTTCTTTACAAAGAAATTTGAGCTTAGACATCAACATTACACAGAGAAAATCAGCCTTGTGACTTTTAGTGAGTGATAGCAAAGTGTTCAGTCACATTGGGCTTGCATTTTTTTTAAAAAAAAATTTGTTTATTATTGTATGTGTATAATGTATGTGTGCGGGGGCAGAAAGGACTCCATGCACATGTTGAGGGCAGAGGACAGCGTTGTGGAGTTGGTGCTCTCCTTCCACCTTTATTTGAGTTGTGGGGATTGAACTCAGATCTTCAGGCTTGCATGGCTGGTGCTTTACCTGCTGAGCCATCTCCTCAGCCCTACTTTTTTGTTCTTAATGCCTTTACTTTCCTCATTCTTCTCTGGGGAGAAAGGGCTGTAGCCATCCTAACCTCAGTAGCACAAGGATGAAGTGACCATCCTGAATTCCAGCTTCTTTTCTGACCTTTTCCCTGGATACAGTGTGGATAGTGGAGAGCAGTGGAAACCGGGGAAGAGTTGGGACTTTATTCTGCAGATGGGCAGGGCCACTGACAGTGTGCACTTGTGTTTTACAACAAGAGTGTCAGTATCCCAGCAGCAACACTGCTTGCAGATCAACAAACAGGCATAGGGAAGTAAGGAGGCCAAAAAGTACAGACAAGCCACAAACCATAATTTTATCCATCCAGACAAGTGCTGCCAGACAGAAATGGTAGGCAAGACAATGTAATTTTAAGCGGGTCTACTGGCCATGTTTTTAAAAAGAGATTTTATTTATTTTTATGAATATTTTGTCTGCATGTATGAAAGAGCACCATGTACTTGTAGTGCTCACAGAGACCAGAAGAAGGCATCAAATCTCCTCAACCTAGAGTTAAGGATGGGTGTTAGCTGCCATGTGAGTGCTAGGAACTGAACCTGGGTCCTCTGGAAGAGCAGTAAGTGCTCTTACACACAGGGTCATCTTTCCAGTCCCCTACTAAACATGTTTTAAAAAGCAGAAAGAAGCTGGGTTAGGTTCCATCCCTAACACCAAAACTGAAAAAAATTGATATTTTCTTATAAATTTTAGATATTAGGTATTTGGTTGACACAAACAGTGCATGTGAATTCCTACCTTAAATTATCAGCGTTCAAAGAGAGAGCTGGAGAGATGGCTCAGGGTTAAAGGCTTGCTGAGAAGCCTGAGGATCTGAGTTCAATCCCCAGAACCCACGTAAGTTGTCTCAGACCGCCATGCTAGCTCTGAGGTACGCAGGTGCATGCACACATGTGTGCACACACACAAAATGTAACTTTAAAAAGAAATGTGAGTTCTCCAACTGGTCTTTGCCCAAGATTTACCTACATGACACACAGTAATTAAAAGTCCAGACTGGTGGAACTAACCTTCTTGGATGTTTAACAGACATACTTTGAGGCCTATAATAATTTGGTCAGAGGGACATAAAGGACACTTTTTGCTCCTTGCCCTCCTAGGTCGACTAGCTCCAGGGGACTATGAGCATCTCTCAAAATGTCCTGTTATGGCGGTGAGTCACCTGTCCTCTTGATCAAGGAGACCAAGGAGACCCCACCAGATGGACTTGAACCAGTGTCCAGTCTACAAAGAGGAAGGTTAACACAGAGGAATCATTTCCTCCATGCTTCCAAGTGAAGCCAACCATGGTCGAGCAGGACCTTTGACTTATCTTCACATAAGCGGAACTGGTAAAAGAAAGGAGCCAGGGGCTCCTCCCAAGCCCATGTGACCCCTGAGGAATAGATCCTTAAACGACCTTAAGAGTAAAAATAAATTGGTTTATCTGGGCCAACTGTATGGCCTCAGACACCCAAAAGGAAAGTATAACCAAAGATTAAAGGGGCCAATAGAATTCTTGAGTCCATATGCATAGCTAAAGGCTACATAACAAGCAACAATGCCAGATGACAGGCGATATCTTCTTTTGAGTTGTTGGCCAGAGTGGCCAAAGGGACTCCCAGGTAGTAACCCAGCACAGAACTGGGAAAATGAACAGCAGACCCCAATCTTATCTAAAGGAATACTGACAACTGATTACTGCTACATGAGGAACAGCTGACCCTCCTAAAACAAAGACCTCTAGATAGGCTGACTAGATTCACCCGAAGGGGAAGTAGTGGGGAATGGCTGGGGGTGCCGACAACACAGCAGACAGTAGCAGGGATAACAGAGTATAAGGGCTCTAGTAGGGGGAGGGAGGCTATGGGAGGGTGCTATCTGGGAAGTGGTGTATAGTCGAAATGAGATGGTTTGGGATGTTCTGTGTGATACACACACAAACACACACACACACAAAATTTTTTAAAAATGTATTATATTTGAGGAGGAAGCATGGAAATTTACATCATGCTAATTAGTAGAGGTGATAAACATTTCCATTGAAATCTACCCGATGACTTTATATCCATACACAGGTGCCAAGGATCCGAGTGCAACCAACCATGACTAGTAATAATCAGATACATACCGATTAGAGATGCATGTGCCAACATCTAAGTGTTATTAGCATGACTAAGTTTCACTGGCAATTTATTTCCTGGCTTCCTGCCTTCTCTTCTTTTGACAAGTTCAGTGAAGTTCAAGAGAAACCACCATTCCAAATGAAATTTGTTTTGAAAGTAAGTTTTGGGAAAAGGGGAAACCCTTTAAAAAAAAAAAAAAAAAAAAATAATTAAAAAATAGTAATTCTTCAAATAAAAATTTGCTCCTTAATAATTAGTAGATGTGAAAAACATTACCATTGAAATCTACCTGATGACTTTATATCCATGCTCAGATGCCAAGGAGCTCAG